TATATTCATTGAAAATTTATCGTCATACATGTGTGGAAGAAGCTATTAAAACTATAACAATAGTCACGGGCGTCAGATTACGTAATTTGCAACACATTGAAAAAAGTTGTAATAATTACACCGAATCCAACAACACCTCTAGATATACAATATTTGTCGTGGTAACTGATCCATTAGGAGGGAGGAAACTGATGCAATCAGCAGACGTGCATCTAATACCACACAAAACAAATATCTCCCAACATTCCAAATACGAATATTAGACACTCTTATATAAACATTAACCAAGTCAAATGGCTAAAATGACATTATTCATTCCATTAAAAATCCTCATGAATTCGTATAAAAATAATCATCAAACAATCCAAACTTCAAAAAAAATTAGCAAAACAAAAAAAAAAAGGTCAAATTCAATGAACAATGTACATACCAGGAAAATAAAAACCAATGAACAATATATCATTCTCTAAATTACTCTTTTCATTAAGGCATTCTTCCTTCACAAATAATAATCCATTTTATCACTTTATACAACAAAAAAAGATTAATTTCTTTTCTCATTAACACTAAAGAAAAAGAAAAACTAACTAAAACAAAAAAATGTGCAGACATAAAAGGGGATGCATGGGCAAGTGATCAAGGGAATATATATAGACTGTGGAATCATGTAAGTTTGAAAAATATGCCACCACAACTACGGCATGCTAACAATATCCAAATTTTTGCACTCATTAAACCATCCATTAAATAAAAATAAAGAATTATAATATCTAAATCACATATATTCAAACTGAAACTGTAAAATCATAAAATCCATGATAATTAAAGCCATTGCACATATATGAAATGTATATGATATCATTCACTTAGTAAATATCCAAGTACTGTGAATAAAAAAACTTAGTAATCAACTACTGAATTGCAGAAAACTCAAGCCTATGAATAAAAGTTAGGATGTAAAGTGGAGCAAAACATACTTTCTTCGTAATAGGCACTTAAAAATCTTGCAAAACAATAGAAGACTCGGAGTNATGAAATACAACAGAAATTGTAAAATAAACATAAAAGCTAATTTTATCTAGAAAAAACGTATCTTATCAGAATTATTTCTGAGATAGATTATAGTCCTCGGAGAAGTATGGATCGAGAAGGCCTCTCGATGATCAACTATGAGAGAAAGAGAGTTGTGAGTAGACGGAAAACAAAATTCAAAAGTTGTAGGTGTGACGGAAAGCAGAGGGTTTGGGGTAAGGGTGTGTGTGTTCTGTGGGTATTANTATGATATCATTCACTTAGTAAATATCCAAGTACTGTGAATAAAAAAACTTAGTAATCAACTACTGAATTGCAGAAAACTCAAGCCTATGAATAAAAGTTAGGATGTAAAGTGGAGCAAAACATACTTTCTTCGTAATAGGCACTTAAAAATCTTGCAAAACAATAGAAGACTCAGAGTCATAATTATCCTTAAGTCGAAACTTTAATGAATAAAGTCACTCAAGGAAATTTTTCCATATATTCATTGAAAATTTTTAATATAGTTTAAGTCCTTATATTGTGTCACTATAGTTTAAATTGATGGATAGTTTCGCGAGCGTATCAAGTGTACCACATATTCTACTGCTTTATAAGTCATAAGATGTGAGTGTGAAAAATAATACTAAGGACTTCGCCTAATTATTTAGAATCGAAAGATACACATCGTAATTATTCACACATAAAGTAACCTAAAGTGCTGCAATCACCAATTCAATTGAAGCAGAAGAAATGCAATTAACAATTCTAAAATTCAAATTGAATCTAAAATAACTACAAAGTTCACACCAAAATCGAACATAAAGTAATTACAAAATTCATTGAATCTTATCAAATCAAATTCAAATTACATCTAATCAAACCAAGTTCACCTACAGTAATTGTAAAATTTGCAATTTTGTAATTACTTCATTATTACATTTTTTTAACCATCTTTACCAAAAGCTATTGACTTATGGAGTTATGGGTTTTATTTAAANATAAACATAAAAGCTAATTTTATCTAGAAAAAACGTATCTTATCAGAATTATTTCTGAGATAGATTATAGTCCTCGGAGAAGTATGGATCGAGAAGGCCTCTCGATGATCAACTATGAGAGAAAGAGAGTTGTGAGTAGACGGAAAACAAAATTCAAAAGTTGTAGGTGTGACGGAAAGCAGAGGGTTTGGGGTAAGGGTGTGTGTGTTCTGTGGGTATTATTTTTTTTTTGGGGGGAGAGGGGTTGTGCAAGGTAAGAGGGAGGGGTTCTATGAGAGTGTATGTGTGTTGTGTGTTCTGACACCAAATTAACATCAAATCAACACTTCCACAAGCATTTACTCCGTAAAATGCAAGGTTATCCCCCCAAAAAAAAAGAAGGAAATAAGCATTGGATTTAATGTACAAACAGATGAATTAATTTNTACAGAAAACTCAAGCCTATGAATAAAAGTTAGGATGTAAAGTCGAGCAAAACATACTTTCTTCGTAATAGGCACTTAAAAATCTTGCAAAACAATAGAAGACTCGGAGTCATAATTATCCTTAAGTCGAAACTTTAATGAATAAAGTCACTCAAGGAAATTTTTCCATATATTCATTGGAAATTTTTAATATAGTTTAAGTCCTTATATTGTGTCACTATAGTTTAAATTGATGGATAGTTTCGCGANTTTTTCCATATATTCATTGAAAATTTTTAATATAGTTTAAGTCCTTATATTGTGTCACTATAGTTTAAATTGATGGATAGTTTCGCGAGCGTATCAAGTGTACCACATATTCTAGTGCTTTATAAGTCATAAGATGTGAGTGTGAAAAATAATACTAAGGACTTCGCCTAATTATTTAGAATCGAAAGATACACATCGTAATTATTCACACATAAAGTAACCTAAAGTGCTGCAATCACCAATTCAATTGAAGCAGAAGAAATGCAATTAACAATTCTAAAATTCAAATTGAATCTAAAATAACTACAAAGTTCACACCAAAATCGAACATAAAGTAATTACAAAATTCATTGAATCTTATCAAATCAAATTCAAATTACATCTAATCAAACCAAGTTCACCTACAGTAATTGTAAAATTTGCAATTTTGTAATTACTTCATTATTACATTTTTTTAACCATCTTTACCAAAAGCTATTGACTTATGGAGTTATGGGTTTTATTTAAATTTCTAGAAACCATTTCTCCTCTGTGTGGATAGGTGGGTGGGNGCTAATTTTATCTAGAAAAAACGTATCTTATCAGAATTATTTCTGAGATAGATTATAGTCCTCGGAGAAGTATGGATCGAGAAGGCCTCTCGATGATCAACTATGAGAGAAAGAGAGTTGTGAGTAGACGGAAAACAAAATTCAAAAGTTGTAGGTGTGACGGAAAGCAGAGGATTTGGGGTAAGGGTGTGTGTGTTCTGTGAGTATTATTTTTTTTTTGGGGGGAGAGGGGTTGTGCAGGGTAAGAGGGAGGGATTCTATGAGAGTGTATGTGTGTTGTGTGTTCTGACACCAAATTAACATCAAATCAACACTTCCACAAGCATTTACTCCGTACAATGCAAGGTTATCCCCCAAAAAAAAAAGAAGGAAATAAGCATTGGATTTAATGTACAAACAGATGAATTAATTTTTTTTTTTAAATTATTATAAGAAGCATGACACATTTGTTCACCAAGTATATAGCAAATCATGGACAGTTATGAAAACTCAACAAATAGAAATATTAAGACCCTATAAATCATCATATAAGCATGAAATCAAATGATCAACATAAAAAGTCAAACACAACAAAATAAAGAAGCACAACCTGAGTAATAAGATAATGACATAGAACCCTTCTTGGTCAATGACAGCACCAACTAACTATTTCAAAATTCTAAATTTCACACAAAGTAAGGGAAATGAATGGCAATAAAACAACAAATTGAATAAGCACAACTCATAAGCAAAGAGATAGGTAACCTCAATAGTACCTATGGAACAACAATCAATTCAAGCACAAAATAATAATTTCCACTCGAGCAATAGGAAAATGCCGAATAATGGTTACTCCATAAAAATATGCACAAAAGGAAATGGGCATTAGCTTCATAGAGGATCCATCATGGGGAAGCTTCTGCTAAATATAAATAATGCACAAAGGAGTAATTTCGCTCGATCTTTGATGAAACATGCAACAACTCTTGGAAATAAGAATAAAATTTCTAGAACAAACTTATGACATGTAAAGCTTCTGGCAATATTGGTGAACAATCCATGTTGCTAATATGTAAAGTTCCTTAAACCAATGAATAATTATGAGTGAACAATCCATGCTCAAGAGCCTTGCCTGAAACATCCACACTCAGTTTCTAATAACTCAGTTTCTAATAATGCAACTGAGTCTGTAACACTCAGCCTTACCTCATTCATGGTGAAAGATTAAATAACTTCCAAAATCGGAGAATGCATGAAAATCATATTTATTGTCATTTTGAACTATGGATCAAAGTACATGTGAATTTTATCCGTGGGAGTATCCCAGAATGAAGTATTCCTAAAAAATGTAGTGACCAATTGGATAACACCAAATACATTTACTAAAAATTAAACACTCAATAAATTAAGATTCAGTATCTGGAGTTCATTTAGATGCATGCACATACATGCCAAAAAAAATATTCCAACTTCAACACAGCTAATTTTAACAGAAACAACTACTGGAAAAACTTTAGCCATGAAACATGCAAATCGAATTCTCTTAAAAATAATCAGGAAATGTATTTGGGGTATAGTTCGGGAATAATATTCTTCAAAAAATGGGCATAGTTATTATTCAAGGAATTTTTTAAAAAATTCTTTTAAAAATGGGACCCAAAAATAAATTCAACCTATACACAGGTTTGTGAAAAAACGGCAAAAACCAGTGCAATATAGAACACATGGTGTTTGTGGGCTGCGCCGTGGGGAAGTGTCCGTAGTGACATTTCGTCGAACACATGGTGTCTGTGAGTGACAGTTGGTGACTCGGCAGAGACAGAATTGGGGCAGTGTTTCTCTTACGCATTTTAACAAACATTTCATGAGCATTATGATTGGGGTTTGGGGAGTTAAGGAAATTGTGTTCTGTGTGTATGTGGGAAGCAGAGAGACAGAAAGAGGGGAGGGGATGGAGAGAAATACCTGGGAGATGGTTGTGGGTCGTGACGGGGGTGCTGTGGTGGTTACGGTAGCGCTGGACAATGGGCTGTGTGAGAGTTGTGTTGCAGAGAAGAGAAATAGAAAGAGAGAAGAGTTGTCGGAGTCGTTAGATTGCTGCAGTATGTGGTTGCCGGAGTTGGAAGCTGAAGAAAGATCTGGTTGTTGAAGTTCGAATCTAGAGAGAGAGGGAGGAGACGAATGGTCAGGAGAGGAAAGAGGGAGGAAATCGGGGAGCGAGAGAGAGAAGACTGAGAAGAGTGAAGGGACCGAATCAGGAGGGATATTATTTCAATGAGAGGAATTTTGAACCGTTAGATTAAATATGAATTATTTATTTAGAATAATCTGAACCGTTGGTGAATAATTTTGAAATAAATATTTGTGATAGATAAATTAATTTAAGACGCCGAGATGAATTTATCGAAGTTGCTCGATCTTATGTTAAAGAATTATAGATGCTGTATTTATAACGCGTGAGAATAGCGAGACTTTCTAGTCTAACCGACCAATATATTATCATTATATACGTTAACAGGTGTGATCAGAGAGTCACTAATTTCTCGATCAGCAGCAGGACAGTAAAAAAAAAAAAATTGGGAGAAATTGGAAGAAAATCGTTTTGGCATCTTCACAAACAGTTGGTGTTCGAGTTTTAACGGTCTCTCTTCTTCAATTTGCAATCTAATTCTTACTCCCATCAACCTCTATCTTAGTTATGACTACATATATCTATACATGCTATGTAGTATGTTATGAACACAAGTGCACGCATTATTGTTTCCTTCGTAAATTAGCATGGGCAGCATGAGGGCTTGAAGAAGGAGGAAGGAGTCAAGAGAGAAGACGTGATGAGGGTGACACTCTGAGCTGCGAGAGATGAGAGCAATTACCTGGTGGGTGGGTGGGTGG